GAGCCTGGGCACTGTTCCTGAACTTTTTATTTTTAATCTATCCACTTGAGCTACTGCTCCACTACTGCTGGTGGTTAATTGGAGATATGAATCGCACAGACTTTCTTGCCTAGGCTGGCTTTGAATCGTGATCCTCAGATCTCAGCCTCCTGAGTAGCTAGGATTACAAGCATGATCCAGTAGTGCTCAGCTAAAACTGTTTTAAATATTTATCAATGATAGCCAGACTTGGTTGGTACTCCTTTAATCTTAGCACTATGAAGACTGAGGCAAGAGGATTAGAAGTCCTAATTTTTTTTTTTTTTTTCAATCAATGAGTTGAATTGATTCTCCAGGAAGCTTTACTTATTTTCACTGGAACTACAAAAACCACCATATCTTTAAACTCTGCAGAGGGCTTTTTTTTTTTTTTTTTTTTGGTCTCTCAGACTTTTCTTGTCCAGGCTAGCTTCAAACTGTGAGTCTCAGACCTCAGCCTCCTGAGTAAAGTAGCTGGCATGAGCCACCTGTGCCCAGCTACAGAGTGCTTTTTGTTATTTTTTATTAATTACTTTTTTAATTAGTTGTGTTTGGAGACAGTATCTCACTAAATTGCCCAGACTGGTCCTGATTCCCAATCTGGATTCTCCTGCCTTGGCCTCTTGAGTGCTAAGTTTATAGGCAAATGCTACCATGTTTGGCCTGAGGGCATTTTATATATGTCATATTATTTGGAAAATTGCCCACGATCACACAGTCAGAATCAAGGCACTAACCCACATGCATCTCAGCTCCACAATGCATGCATTTTCTAACACAGCTTGAAATTAAATTGAGAGAGTTCAGAGGATGGAAATATTTTTGTCATTTCTAAGTTTATCTTTATTGGAATGTAGGACTTTTTTCTTGGTCGAATTACTATTGTAACCGTAATTTTTTGGAGGGGTATTTTCTTTTTTTGGTACTGGGAATAGAACCCAGGGCATTGTACTTGCTAGGTAAGCACTTTGCTACTGAGCTACATCCCAGCCCAAGTTACCATTATAGTTCAAATCATGTGTAATTGCCTATCTGTTGTTCAGAAGATAAAACAAACCTGCTCAGACTTTGAATATTCTAACTCCATGTCTAGTTTGTTAGTTAGTTTTTATTTATTTATTTATTTTTGTCGGTCGTGGAGCCTGAACTGTGGGCCTGGGCACTGTCCCTTAGCTCTTCAGCTCAAGGCTAGCGCTCTACCACTTGAGCCACAGCGCCAGTTCCAGCTTTTTCTGCTTATGTGGTGCTGAGGAATTGAACCCAGGGCCTCATGCATGCAAGGCAAGCACTCTACCTACCACTGAGCCACCTTCCCACCCCCCCCTAGTTTATTTTTTGAGATGGGGTCTTATTAATAAATCAGAAAAAGGCATACTTAATCTGTAACTTCCTGGCCAAGGCACTAAATTTATTACCAGAAATTTAGGACAACTAATTGACCTTTTGTCTGGCAAGAGAAGGATTCAGGCAAGACAAGTGAGCATAGTAAAGGTAATAGGAAAAATTTTTGGAAGAGAAATCAGACAGAAGTAGAGCAACATGCATAATCATACCAAGGAAGATGGCACCTCAGCCATCTCATCTTGCTCTTCACAGAGCTTGACCTTGTGTGAGAGTTGGAGTCCTTGAAGATGGCTCTGTGTGTGTCTGTGTCTGTCTGTGTCTGTGTCTGTGTGTTTGTACTGCACTCAGGGCCTGGGTACTGTCCCTGAGCTTTTTTTGCTCAATCCTGGTGCTCTACCACTTGAACCACACTCTACTTTCAACTTTTTGGTAGTTAGTTGGAGACAGGAGTCTCACAGACTTGCCTGTTTTTCTGCTTGAGCTGACTTCAGACTGTAATCTTCAGATCTCAGTCTCCTGAGTAGCTAGGATTATAGGTGTGAGCCACCAATATTGGGCAAAAATGGCCTTTTCATTTTTGGGCTTCCTTTGTGTTTCCTATAAGATTGTTATGTCCGTATTTTCTCATTTTTTGGCTCTCGCGCGCGTATATAAGTGTGTGTGTGTGTGTGTGTGTGTGTGTGTGTGTGTGTGTGTGTGTGTGTGTGTGTTGAGGGGGGGTGGGGAGCTTGAACTCAGGGCCTGGATGTTATCACTGAGCTCTTTTTGCTCAAGGCTTGCTAGCATTCTACCATTTTGAGTCACAGCACTACTTCTGGTTTTCTGGTGATTAATTGGAGGTAAGAGTCTCATGGACTTTCCTGTCCTGGCTGGCTTTGAACCGAAGTCCTTACTTCCTCATTCTTTTGTAGTCTCCTGCCCCTATTTCGTTGTCAAGAAGGTTTTAGTTTATCGTTTATCCTACCACCTGCAAGTTCTATAGACTATAATTCCCTGATTGACTGCTTTTCTAACTTTTTTGGCTAGGCTGGTGCTCTCAATTTTGCCAAGTCCTGGTGCTCCCTGTTTCCAAGTAGCTAGGATTACGAGCATGAGCCACTACACCCAGCCTCATTTTTAAAGTACCTTCCAAATAGTTTTGGGAGTTGACTTTTTTGACAAGAGGAAACATCTTGTTATTAAAATTTAGTTTTAAGGAAACACCGTGAAATGATAGGAATTAATTTTGCTTGTGTCTGCTAACCCAAGGTCCTGGAAATACATAAATGCTAAAAGTACCAGGATGTTAGCATTTACTTCTCTGCTCCTAAGATAACAAGTATCTAGCCATCTGGGATCTCAGTTCCCACTAAATGTCCAGAAGGAAAGTCTGGAATGCCCTGACTGGTCACATTGAACATTGAATTTCAACATGGTCTGGCTCCTGTACTTCCTTTAAGAAGGTAGAATGGTACTTAGAAGGATGAAGCCATAGTGACCCTCTCCAGACATACACACACACACACACTTGAAATTTGAGAGTATTAAGGGCATCCTAAAGATGTGTACAAAGCCTTTCCTCTTCTATATTCTTCTAACTATAACTCTTGTTGTTGTTGTTGTTGGTGGTGGTGGTGGTGGTTGTCGTGGGGGCTGAACTCTGGGCCTGGGCTCTGTCCCTCAGCTCTTCAGCTCAAGGCTAGCACCCTACCACTTGAGCCACAGTGCCACTTCTGGCTTTTTTCTGCTTATGTAGTGCTAAGGAATTGAACCCAGGGTCTCATGCATGCAAGGCAAGCACTCTACCACTGAGCCAACTTCCTAGCCCCTGATAACTTTTTATAATAAGTGAAAGAAGAAAAGTGTAAAACTGGAAAGTCTGGAGTTTAGACTTAAAAACCTGTTGAGTCAAAGGAGGAACTTAGTAGAGAAATGGAATGGAGGTCATTTCCTAAGACAGTAGGCAAGTATTCAGGAAACACCTCTGCACCCCAAAGATAGGCACAGCTGCCACACAGTAACTATTAAAGGGAGGCTCACATTTGCAAGCAAACAGCTGATTCTCTTGGTTCTTGGGCTGTTGCTGTTGGTGACAGGAAATCTTGTTCCCCAAGCTGCTGGCTTCCTGTTTTATTTTTACTGGAGCAGATCAGAGTGTCCATAACTTGGAGCAGTCTGTTCCAAAGGGCTCTTCTCCCTCTTTGAACCCAAAGGACTTCTTTTTTCTTTTCTTTTGGTCGGACAATATATTGTTAGTTTCCAAATTGTTGGATCTATGATGATTAGTTGGGCTTAGGTATTTTGTATGCACAATCAACTTTGATGGTGAGCTGGTATTTTAAGATTTGATGTAAGTAAACCTCTTTGTTTTGTTTTTAGTTAAATGTATATTATTGGGTGCTTAGATAAGTTACCTTTTGTCTTGTCTTTTTGTTTGAAATGAATTTTCTCATTTCATCACAGTCTGTGCACACAGGACCAGACCAGTCAGTGTGCCATTTTGTTGAAATTAAAACCTCTTCCTAAACTGGTAAAATTAAGCATGTGGTAATCTAAATCTGAAACAATGGCTCAGCATAGCCTGAAGTGCTGGGGGATTTCCTAGGGAAAGAGGCTCAGCTGCCAGGGTAAGACACAGTAACTGGAAGGTTTCCGGATCTGCTCCAGACACTTCCTGCTGTCTTTGGCCCAGGTGTATTGAACGGGGTGGGAGGGAGAAAGGAGCCTGAGTGGGAAGGGAACTGCTAGGTAGATGAGAAAAGACCAGGAAAGCTTAGCACAGCACACTCAGTATCAGGTTGGACCTATTGAGCATGTTTAGTTTTCCTTGATATTCTTTCATTGTATCAATTTACAGACTAAACTTTGGTAGTGTTAATAGATGGTGGCAGCTAGCAGTTAGTCATACAGTACAATTATCCACCCAGGAAGAACTGGAGAAGTCATGTCCAGATGTAGATCACCAGAATCACTGTTGGCAGCTTGATTTCATTGTAGAAATTATTAGATGAGAAGAGGGCTTTTTTAATCCTTACAGTTGGTGGGCTAGAGTCTATTTGTCTTGGTTACAAGGTTACAGATACACCAAGGATAGGTTCTTTACCATCCGAGGACTGCTGAATGGACTGTTTTATGACCACGCCTCCTTGCCTCTGGGGACTGTTGTTGGCTGGAGCAGTAGTTGTCACTTGAAGTTTTTGTACTGCCTGTGTACCTTAGCCAGCCAGCAGTTACTAGTTTAGGTTGTCTAAACTTCCATAGCAAGTATTTTAGTAGCAAACCTGAAAACGATTGAGAGGCTTAAAAAAAAAAAAAAGAAAAAGAGAGTACAGATTTTTTTTTTTTGGAAAGCTGTTGTAAAGCTATGCACAATGTTACACCTTTATAAGGTCAGCATTTGAGAGACCCAGACAGGAGGATTGCAAGTTGTTGGCCAGCTTGGACAAGCTCTTGTCATAAAAACAAAAAGGAAGAAAGAAAGACAGGAAGGAGGGAGAGAGAAGCAGGGGAAAATGGAAGGAGGAAAGAAAAGAAGAAAAGAAAAGCTGTTTTAGATCAGCCAGCTTAAAAAAAAAAAACCACCAAAAACAAAAGACACACAGCCCTAGTGTGCCTGGAATTTGTGGTTGAGTAATACTTTCCTGTTATTTCTTTTTTAGGTTGTTTTTCATCATTTAGAACATTGCCTGAAGCAGGTCCACCATGCCGTTAGTAACGAGGAACATCGAGCCAAGGCACCTGTGCCGTCAGACGTTGCCTAGTGTTAGAAGCAACGAGCTGGAATGCGTGACCAACATCACCCTGGCAAATGTCATCCGACAGCTGGGCAGCCTGAGTGAGTGCCTCCGAGAGCCTGTGCTTTGCCCTCAGGGGTCGTTGGTGCTCTTTATTTAGTTTTCCTTCTCCTTCCATGTTCCTATTTCTCCTCCATCTGCCTTCCCTAGGTAATGTGAACATGTAGCCCATCCCCCTTCCCAGAGAGCCTCCTTTTTTGGTACCGAGTCTTCCCCTCTACCCTTTCTTCATTTACCTCCACCCCTGTAGGTTTCTTCTACCTTCCCCTCCACCTGCTTCAAAAGAAATCTGTGGGAAGGGTGGCAGGAAGAGCTGCAGTGAAAGCTGCAGATGGAATGACAGAGCAGAATTCTCTGTGTAAAGTGGGAGGTTCCCAGAGCAGTGTCTTGGGTTGGAGAATGTGCCTGTAATTACATGAGCTGTTGCATGCAGCCTGACTCTGTGGAAGCCTCAAATGTGCCAGTAGCCTTTATCTACCCAACACCCTCCCCGCTTTCTTCCCAGAAAGAAGGGACGCAAACATGTACTCAGATATTCTGGTGGACTTCTCTACTGTGGTACACATTTAATTGTGCAGCAGGCCTCCAGGTCTAAGTTCAGGGTACAGATTACTTCTGTAGTCTCAGGGGCATTGGGAGTTTTGCAAGCTTCAGGAACACACAGTGACACAGATGGTAGCTGGAGCCTTCCTTTCTTCTCTAGAAGGGAGAAGAGGGTTAACCCAATATTTTCTGGAGATGAGGGAAATCCAGCTTAACTATCACATTTTTAATTGGCATCAATGATGAGACTGCACTGAGTGGGGTACATGCATGTGGTTTGGATTTTATTCATTCTGAATTATGATGACATTTGTTGGAAGCTGAGTATGTATAGGAAGGGCAGATGCTTGGACTGGCTCTACATTTGTCTACTGCCACCCCAGCTCCCATAAGCACCTCTGACAAAATGCCATCCTAGCGATCTTCCTTAGCAAAGGCATCTTGGTGTGAATTATTTCAGACATTCACCCCTCCTATCACATCACAGCCCTTAGTAAAAGTAGTGGAATATCAAGAAAGCCTGCATTCCCCCAGATAGTAATAGGCCCTGTCTTTAAAATAGGAGCCCAAGGAGCCAGAGCTGTGTAAGCTTTGCGAGCATATGATGTATGGAGTCCAAAGTTCCTATGCCTGCACCTAGCTCAGGGACCATCTCAGTTGATCCAGGGCTTAGGGAAACCTGGAAGGGGCGTCACAAAGAAAAGAAACCCTGCCAGTGCCTGTCTTATACAAAGGAACATTGACAGCAGCGCAAAGGCAGTGCAGCTGACAGTGAAGCACATGAAAGCTGCAGAGAGCCGAACTGCTTCTTAAAAGCATCATTTCTGCTTCTGTCACCCAGAGAAGGCCAAATGGCTGGAAGTCAATCACACACTGCTTCCTTCTTCATAGGACAAAGAACATGTAGCTAATGATGGTTCTTATTCCCACCCAGCAGGAGTTAGGCTCCTCGGAGGTGCTTTTCTAGAATAGTGTTGATGGATGCCATTGTGGATTCTCCCACTTGAGACCAGACCATTCCTCTCTTCAGGAAGCTGATCTCAGCGTGGGCCAGGGAGAGCTTTTGCCTAAGGAACAAGATTTCCTGACAGTATGAAGCTGACTGACCTTTTATCCATCCAGTAAACATGTAATGGGCGTATTTCCTGTGCTGGATACTGAGAAGATACAGGATGAGAAGAAATGGTCTCTGCCTTCCAGGAGCTCATTATCTACCAAGGGAGAAAGAAATAAATAATTCTTGAGGAGACAATGGGGAGAGGGTGAGAAGGGAACTTACATTTGTTGATTGCCTGCTTTGTGCCAAGTTTTTACGGGATCTTGACATGATCTCATTTAGTCTTCTCAATAATCCTATGGTAGTAGGAAATGCTATTCCTACTTTTCACGTGAAAAAATGAAAGCTCAGAACTATGAAGTAACATTCCCAAAGAGATAGCAGCCAATATTGGTTTATCTGATTCATCTATCCATCTATCTATTTAAATTTTTTTAGTATTGGGACTTAAGCCCTGACACTTGTACATACACGTTAAGGACATGCTCTCCCACCCATATTCCAGACCCTAAAAATGAATAGTTAAACTTCGCTAATAATTTATTTGTCGGGGGAGGGGGCAGTAGCAGGATTTGAACTCAGGACCTTGTGCTAGGCAAGCACTATAGCATCACACCCTCAGCTCTTTTTATTTATTTTGTCAGTCATGGAGCTTGAACTCAGGGCCTGGGCACTGTCCCTGAGCTTTCTCTGCTCAAGTAACACTCTACCACTTCTAGTTTTCTGGTGGTTAATTAGAGATAAGAGTCTCATTGTCTTTCCTGCCCAGGCTGTCTTCAAACCACGATCCTCAGATCTCAGCCTCCTGAGTAACTAGGATTACAGGCATGAGCCAATGACGCCTGGCCTACCCTCAGCGCTTTTCTTTTTATTCTTTTTTTGTTCGGTTGTGGGGCTTGAACTCTGGGCCTGGGCGCTGTCCATGAGCTCTTCACCTCAAGGTGCTCTACCACTTGAGCCACAGTGCCACTTGGGTTTTCTGGTGGTTAATTGGAGATGAGAGTCATGGACTTTCCTGCCCTGGCTGGCTTTGAACCGTTTATCCTCAGATCTCAGCCTCCTTAGTAGCTAGGATTACAGGCACGAGCTACCTGCATCCAGCTGGTTTTTGTTGTTGTTTGTTTTTTGCCTGGGACTGATTTCTTTGCCCTGTCTCTCACTTTGTCTCCCAGCAGTGCCCTGTTTTAGGGGCACTGTTGATATTCACCTAAACTATCTTTAATTTATAATTTGTGACAGTCTTTTTTTTTTGGGTCCGGTCATGGGCCTGAACTCAGGGCCTGGGCGCTGTCTCTCAGCTCTTCAGCTCCAGGCTAGCACTCTACCACTTGAGCCATAGCGCCACTTCCGGCTTTTTTTTTTTTTTCCTGCTTATGTGGTGCTGAGGAATCGAACCCAGGGCCTCATGCATTCAAGGCATGCGCTCTACCACTGAGCCACCTTCCCAGCCCTCACTTTTTACTTTTGTAGTTCCCCATTTAAAAAAATTTAGAGCTGGGCGCCTATGGCTTACACCTGCAATCCTAGCTACTCAGGAGGCTGAGATCTGAAAATCAGGATTCAAAGCCAGCTGGAGCAGGAAAGCCCTTGAGACTCTTATATCCAATAAACCACCAGAAAACCATAAGTGGTGCTTTGGCTAAGAGGTAGAGCCCTGGCCTTGAGCTAAATAGCTCAGAGACAGCTTCCAGGCCCTGAATTCAAGCTCTACAACTGACACCTGCGTCCCCCCTCTACCCTCCCCCCCAAAAAATTGAATCGTCTATTAACTTTTATTTTGTGTGTGTGTGCTACTCTTATTTGGCTTGTTTTTGCTTCTGGCTAGCACTGTACCACTTGAGACACACCCCCAGTCCCAGCCTTTTGCTGTTTTATTTTGGTTCATTGGCTTGAACTCAGGGCCTGGATGCTGCCCTTGCAGTTTTTCACGCAAGGGGAGCACTCTATCACTGTGAGCCACAGTGCCACAGTTTTCTAGTGGTTAATTGTAAATAAGAGTCTCATGGACTTTGCTGCCAAGGCTGGCTCTGAACCATGATCTTCTGAGCTCAGCCTCTTAAGTAACTGATAACAGGCATGAAGCACTTGCTCCTGGCCTTAACATGTAATTTTCAAGTTTTTTGTTTTTGTTTATACTACTAGGGAATAAACTCAGGACTATTTAGCTACACCCTAGCCAGTCAGTTTTGTTTGTTCATTAACTCATTCTCTAGTTGAATGTGTTATCTTCCTGTCACAGCTTCCTGAGTAGCTGGATTGCAGTTGTGTGCCACCATGCCCATCTTATCAGGTGCCACCATTCTCATTTTAATATGCGCTTGTAAACTAAGAATATAAATCTTTTTGTCCCCCCTGTTCCACACTATGGAATAATCTTTAGTTCTTTGGCCTGGCATGTAAGACCTGCCTTCCTTTCTCATTTTTGCAGTTTGTTTTTCCCATTTTATAACCTTTATCATGAGATTTTTTTCTTTCTTTTTTTTTGCCTAGGGTTTGAACTCAGGGCCTGGGCACTGTCTCTGAGTTTGTTTTGCTCAAGACTAGCACTCTACCACTTAAGCCACAGCACTACTTCTGGCTTTTTCTGTTTCTGTAGTATTGAGGAATTGAACCCAGGGCTTCATGTATGTTAGGCAAGCACTCTACCACTAAGCCACATTCTTAGCCCCCAAATTAGCACTTTTTTCTTTTCTTTTCTTTTCTTTTTTTTTGGTTGGTCGTGGGGCTTGAACTCTGGTCCTGGGCTCTGTCCTTGAGCTCTTCAGCTCAAAGTTAGCAGTCTACCACTTTAGCCACAGTGCCACTTTTAGTTTTCTGGTGGTTAATTGGAGATAAGAGTCTCACAGACTTCCCTGCCTGGATTGACTTTGAACCATGATCCTCAAATCTCAGCCTTCCGAGTAGCTAGGATTACAGGCATGAGCCATTGGCGCCCAGCAGAACTTTTTTTTTTGGGGGGGTGGGCTCCACTCGTGGGGCCTGAACTCTGGGCCTGGACGCTGTCCCTCAGCTCTTCAGCTCAAAGCTAGCGCTCTACCACTAGAGCCACAGCGCCACTTCTGGCTTTTTTTTCTACTTATGTGGTGCTGAGAAATCGAACCCAGGGCCTCATGCATGCAAGGCAAGTGCTCTACCACTGAGCCACCTTCCCAGCCCCTAGCAGCACTTTCTTATACTAAATTAAAAATTCTTTGAAAGCAAGACTTACATGTTGGCCTTGAACTTCAGTATTTATATAATACCTAGAACCTAGTAGAAGCTCAATAAATGTTTATTGAATGAGTTGTGCCTACATGTTCCGTGTTGTCGGTACAGAAAGTAAAGGGGAGGAGGAGATAATTTCTTTGGGAAGAGGAGCACCCAAGAGAAAAGGGAAATTAAAGAAAGGCTTCTAAGAAGAGGTTACATTTGAACTGGGCCTCGAAAGATAACTAGAGGGGC